GCGTCGACGCCGTTCCCTCCAACTGGCCTCAATTTCAGACGACCTGCAAGATCTATTGACAATTTCCCCCACCCCTAACTCTTCTGTACAGAATATACTTTTCCTACTCCTCTGGCTTCCTAACGTCTCCTCTCATCTTCTAAGGAACCGGGTTTGGAAGATTGTATCTGGTAGTCTTAACCATCTTAGCCTTAACTCTTATTAGTCTTTTATGCCCATATACCAAATCGTGCTCATCTCATCGTCCCTGTGGACATTCGCGGTGGAGCAAACGGCGGACTGCACCGGTATCAGTGGCCTCCTCTCGTTTTATTCCGGCCTTCATTATGCACATAGGTCAACCTATGTCCGCTGAGCTTCGCAGCATCAGCGTCCTAAGAATTGCTTTTTTACAGGTATATAGTTTCCTTTTATATCTGCACGGCTGCATTGTAAATTAAGCATTGCGTAAGTAATTTGTATAAAAATATATCACCAACCAGTGGGTTTAAACAAATAATAAATATTTCTCTAATATTTAATCTAAATAAATTAGCTGACTCCTGAATGTTGCAAATAATTTTGGTACAACCTAAACAACCAGGCCAAAAAGACGAACATTAATAGGAGAAACGCCCTTGTTGTTTTGAACAGGACGTTAACCAGAAGACGAACGTCCCGGAGGTAGGGGCGCTTAACAGGAATTAACATAAAATAAAGCGAGGTTGGGCAGTGTCCTCTTTTATTTGTGATCGACGAAAAATGCACAAAACCTACACCAAAAATCCATTCCATTCCAATTCCCGCTGATAAAAACCAAAAAACCAGTTAAGATTTAAAATAAACAGGAGTCACATTTCCGTCTTCTAGACGTCCGCTGCATTGGCCTGTTCAGGTCAGCGTGGGATTACTGGACCACGTTCCCGACGAAACTAAACGAATTTGGGAAATGTTTTGCCGATGCAACAGTTATTCTTAGAAGTCAGCGGAAACAGTAATCATTAAAGGTGTAATGTACACAAGCCAAATAAGATCAGGAAGTTAAAAATGAAACGTGCGGAAGTCCTCCTAAACTATTCGAGTAATCATCCAATCTCTCAGTGGAGGAGCGCAGTCGAGACAACGAATACTGTCAGATCGAACTAATTTCTTGTTTGAATTATGCTCTCAAAATGGCTATCTGCGAAAATTTGTACGGTTATGCACGAGGCAAGAGGAGTAATCGAAAAAGAGCATAGGCAGTGACAATAAGATGTCATAGCCATAGAAATGACGAAGCCTTGCTTAAATCAAGAAAATGTCTGAACTCGTTGGCAAACACCTAAGGAGGCATAGCATTCGTGTGGCTCATAAGCCAGTAATGACTTTACGCAACCAACTATTTCTACCCAAGGATGAAGTCAGCCATTTGGACAAGAAAGAAGTTATCTGCAAGATCCCGTGTGGACAGTTTGCTGACGTTTATTGCGGTCAAAGGGGAAATCCGCATGTTTGCGGTAAAAAGTAGAAACGACATGTCTCAATTCGCCATGGACACACCTTTGCGTGGGACAAAAACCTTATTGTCGCAGTCTGCCCTGTCAATAAGGCCTGAGGATTCCTCGAGGCAATGCATTTGGACGAGTCATGCATTAACAGGCACATCGAGCTGCGTCATGCGTAGAAAAGTCTCAAGGAGAAAACGACGCGACGCGATCCAATGCGAAAACGATGAGACACCTGGCAGCAGCCAACTGGTACAAGCGCCTCTCTACGCCATTATTGATTTACCCATACACGCTCGATGTCAGCTATTTTTTTGGCACCTTCACTTGAACCTGCGTCTGAAAGCGAGATGGGGCTCCAGTCTCGAAAATCGACACACACCACCATATTTCCCAACGAAAGTCATCAAAGTAAACTATCTATGATAAATATCCTAATAAATGACTGTAGAGATTTGTTAGCTTGCAGGTCGCTATCATGTCCTCGAGAATGTACTGCTACGGCTCCATTTGAAGGTCGGGTTATCTTAAGACAAACGGGGACAATATTTAAAACAATTTTCTAGAAATTTCCTAAAGGACTATACGAGACCAGGCATCCTCTGATAGCAAAGATTTTATGCACTAAAATTACGCACACTTGCTTTAGCCATTCGTACCTACAATTTATTTTACTTACAAAGTGCAAGCATAGGTTTTTCGAGCACTGCATCACTGGGCCTGTTGAAATTGCATTGATAGTGAAAAGATTAGAATTGGATAGGATTCAAAAAATTTCTAACGCCAATGCAAGCAGACATGTGAGACCCAGGAAATAATTAAGAAGAAGTCGACTCAATCGCTGGGACCATACGTTTATTCACCTGACGTTTCGATAGCCCTCGCGGATTCGTCATCAGAGAAAAAGTCAGAGAGCAATAGCAGATAGGGTAGCACATGCATAAGAGTTTGCAGTATTTATAGGAAACAGCAATTACTGCAAACATACGAAGACAATACATCTGGAGTCATCTATAGGATCTGGTGAAGTTGCGGAAAAAGTAACTATATTAACACGCTTCTCAAAACGCGAATTGCCGAACACGCAGCAGCAGTG